GCTTCCTGCTGCAATGCCCCGTGTGTGTCTCTACTTCCCTTATTACATCTGCTCAATTCCTTCTCTCTCCACTTCCATGTTTTAAGAAACTTCTATCGCGTGACACCTTTTTTCCTTTCTTACTTTCCTCCGTGGCCTAGAAATGAGAGTTTGGCTTGAATTTGGCTCAAAATAAGCACAAAAATGTACCTCTGATTTCTTCTCATACATTTAATACCTGCTGGAGTGAGGCCAGAGGAGGCCCCGGAGCTGCTGCGAGGGCTGGAGAAGCTCTGCTCTGGAGCCAGGCTGAGAGAGCTGGGCTGGGGCAGCTGGAGAAGAGAAGGCTCCTGAAGGGGAGACCTCAGAGCAGCTCCAGTGCCTAAAGGGGCTCCAGGAAACCTGGAGAGGGGCTTTGGACAAGGGATGCAGGGACAGGACAAGGGGAATGGCTTTAACCTGCCAGAGGGGAGATTGAGATGAGCTCTGAGGCAGAAGCTGTTCCCTGTGAGGGTGCTGAGGCACTGGCACAGGGTGCCCAGAGAAGCTGTGCAGTGTTGTAGAGAAGGAGGACAGGCAGCAACAGGAATTAGTAGGAACATGGAAAACCTTGGAGAGATGGAATTTCTTTCTGTTTTCACTGTGAGGGTGATCAAGCACTGGCCAAAGGCATGAGGGAGGTTCCGCACAGTGGAATCTGTATCCTTGGAGTTGCTCAAAACTCAACTGAGTGAGACTTTGAGCAACCTGCTTCAAGCATGGGGTTGGACTTGATGCCTCTTCCACCACCTGAGTTCTTCTCAATCCTGCAATAATGGTTGGACTTGATGCTCTTCAAGGCCTTTTCTAAGCCGGTTGATTCTCTGACTATAACACCCATGTATCTTCACCTGTGTGACCATCTCCTCTCTCACAGCCCAGGGCAATGACCATGACCAACCTCCCGCCTTCCTCAGGGGATGACAACTGCTATTACATCCTGACAGGAGAATGTTCCTATGGCAGCAAGTTCTTCCAAGCTGGAAACCTGTGTTTCTGCAGCGAGAGGAGTTACCTGCGCAACTTCCCCGACGACAGGCCCCCCACTTGCTTCTTGAGGGTCATCATGTTGGATGACAGCTCCACTGTCACCATCAAGGTGGACGTCCTTCAGCCCGTGCCTGAGAAGGTGGCCGCCTTCCTCCTGGCCATCAGCAGCCACCATGACCGGTTGAAATACTTCTTGGACAGGGTGAACCTTGAGGCAGCTCTGAGGGCTGTGCCAGGCCACAGGGTGATGGCTGAGGTTGAGCACCATTATTTCCCTGGAATCATCCGTTACATTGGGAGCGTTTATAGGAGCAGTTCTCCTGTGTTGTCTCCCTTCTTCTTTGGGGTGGAGTTACAGGTAAAGTGGTCAAGAAAGAGACTTGCTCATTTTCTCTCCGTGTTTTGTGTGTGTGATGGGGTTTTCTATCCTGTTTCAGGGTGAAGGAGAAAACAGAGGGCACAGTGATGGGTCCTACCGTGGCACTGAGTATTTCAAGTGTAAGAAGAACTGTGGGATCTTCCTGCCATTTAGCAAAGTCCAGTTTACTCCAGAGGAAAACTATGGGAAACAGAAGCCAAAACCAGACACAGAGGAGGTGGTCCCTGTGAAAGTGGGAGATGCAGTTAGCTTCTACGTGGACGAGGTCCTCACCAAAGGAATAGCCATGGCAGTTTACAGGAAGGGAACCCAGTGCTTTGTTAAAGTCTGTCCGGTAAGAGCGGCCTTGATGCCTTGTCTTGGGTTTGGGGGGCTTGAAGAGGTGGAAGGAACATAGAGTCATGGAATGGTTTGGGTTGGAAAGGTCCTTAAGGTCATCCAGTTCCACCCCCTGCCCCGGGCAGGGACACCTTCCACTGGAGCAGGTTGCTCCAAGCCCCTGTGTCCAACCTGCCCTTGAACACTGCCAGGGATGGGGCAG